CATATGATGACGCCTATTTAACGAGCGTCAAGTGGAAGAATAACCCTTTAATTGGGTTGGAAAATCTAAATCACCTTCTATCTATGTCCGGTCTATCACAGCAGAATTATTTTCATCTGAGACGCGTGTGAACTATGCGCTGAGATTTATCAAACGTTGAGGCAACAGAAATGTCGTTCTACTCGAGGGTACTGACTGCAGCTATGAATTTTTAATAATATGTAAACAAGAAAATACCTTAAGAATAGCATCAGATAGAGACAGTTGAATTTTCTAGAGTGTCTAATGAGGAAGAAGGCTTCGAACATTTTACATTCATAGGACATATTGAAAGCTGGGAGGACAGGGGGAAATAGCGTATAACCCACCTGACGTTTAAATGGATGACCGAACCATGATTAGTAGTGATAGAAAAAAGACAAAGTTTACTAAGAATTATAACCAGGAGGATATTGAGACCCCGATCGCCAACGTCCTCAAGGAACAGTAGCACACTGAAAAAGAAGAAGAGGAGGAGAAAAATGAGAAGAAAAGAATGATTGTTCTACAGCTTTTAATGCGTTTCTATATGGGATTGGGAGCGCCAATTAATATCAACAACTCCTTTTGAAAATTAATCGCAATAAAATCCATGAAATAAATGTTAAAGAGTAAATAATAAAAAAAAATGTGGTATATATGTTCATATATGCCTGGTGGAGGATTGGCTCGGATTGAGGAATCGGAGAACCGAGTTCGAATTCCCGTCGAATCCATTAAATTCACTAATACCCTAAGGTATTAGATATTAATCCTCTTCTCCCTCTTGCTAGGTATAAATAAGGCAGACTGGGTTTTATAGCAACATGTCTAGGAGACAACTCTGAATTCAAAACTCGGGGAAGGTTTCTAGCACTGTATTCAAGATGATTCTGCCTTCACTATAATCAATGTTGGTGTCTGGGCTGTTAGTTCCTAGGAACTGGGCTGCTTGGCGCTCATACGTCGAATACGATGAGAAAGTCCATCATATATAGTTGGATTGATGTGAGTTTGTGAGCCTGAGTTTCACGCTATTTGGAATCGTCAAACTGATTAATTTTTAAATTTTGGATTTATATATGGTTGCGTATATCGGTGTTTTTTTATGATAGTGGGAAGAAAAATTGTCGTCGGAATGTATGTACGGAACGCCACCCATACTTACGCAAACATATATACACGCACGTTCACTCATTGACGTACGCAGACATATGTACACGCACGATCCCTCATTGGAGCACAAACAAACATAATCATATGTGAACAGTGTGGGACTGGGCATATATGCGCTTCCATGTGTCGTTCCGTACATACGTATGCATTTGTTGGCTGTATTTGATGTTGGCTTGTATAGCAAATATCTTCCGTCTGTTTCAGTGTAAACGAGCAGACCGTTCGTCTATTTTGTTCGCTGAATAATCTTTTCCCGTACACTCGTATATACGTATGATGGGTTCTATTTAAGACAATGGTAGGTAAAATTGCTATTATTTTCAATTATTTAATGTTTTTTGTTATTATTTTAAAGCCTGTTATTTTCTTGTTTTTGGCGATTGCGCATATGTAAATGGTAGAAACACCAATTTGTAATACTTAATAGTATTTATGCGGTGGTATTAATTTTGCTGGGGGAAGGAGAAGTAAGTATAATTGTACTGATACAGTAATGGTAATTGTAGTGCAGTAGTAATTTTGGACTAATGCGGCAACAGTAATTGAGATGCGGTTGTAATGGTGTAGGGGAACAGTTGATGATAATAACAATTGTAGCAGCAAATAGTTATTGTAATGAGGTAGAAGTGATTGTAGTAATGGTGGTGGAATGGTAATAACAATGATTATAATTAGTATGATGATAGATTTAACAAGAAAATAATTAATGTTGTTATGGTGTCAGTGGTTTCTCTTTTAATGTTCATAAGGTCAATGGTGGTTTATGTAGCAGTGTTGGTTGGTATTTTTTTTATCCGTTTTGCAAAAATTGTGATAATAAGTATTTGTTTTCATGTCTGTATTTAGAAATTATTTCTGATTTTATGTTTAGTAATTTCTTTTGTTGGGTATGAGAAATTACTGCTGTCTTTTAGTGTAAGCAATATAGGCATTGATTTGTAATGTTATTGTTGCCAGGTACGTTTTTTCAATACTATCCAGCTTACATTTGGTGTAATATTTCTGTCTTTTAGATGCTATATGTATGTGGATAACGTAGTGCTGTTTGAGTATTTTCTGTTGGAGAATGAAAGGTCGTGGTATTTTTTTTTTGAATTGTACCTCAGTGGCACCAATGTAGTATATTGGGCTGTTGTTGGCACTTGCTTTGGCATTTTATAATATATTTGTTTATTGAAAATCTCCTTGGAGTGGACATGTTTTATTTCTGCAGTTGCATTGAGGTTACTTGGTTGTATTATTGCAAGTTGTTACTTTTTTGCTGTGACTTTTTATTATTTGTGTTATATTTTTTGTGCAGCTGTAACTGAGTGTAACGTTATTTTTGTTTAATATTTTTGTTAATAAGTTTGTTTCATGTAAGTGCTTTTCTATCAAGTTTAGGAATGCCCTTCCTATGTTTGTTTTGACAGTTTGCTTGTATGCTGGGTTAAACCAGATAATGATTCTTTTAATGATTTTGCGTTTCGGTTGTGGAGGTGTGTATTGTAGTTGTTGTGTATCCACTTTCTTTTAGTGCTTCGTCATATGATGTTTTTTGTTACTACAAATGTCTATGATTGATGAGTTTTCAGATAGCCTGCGGCTTATTGATATGTGCAGTTGCTTAATGATTGAAGGTGGATGTTTGGAGGATGTGTTTAAATAATTTGGGGTGTCATTATCTATTTTTTTACAGTGAGTATGTATTTTTGTTGAGGTTGAGAGTAACGTCAAAGAAGTTTACTGTTCTTGTACCTGCATTTAATTCTATTTTAAATCCAATGGCTTTTAGGGCGTTTACTATTTTTTCCTAAATCTATCTAATTTGGGGCCATTCGGTTCTCTTAGCAGGATAAGTCCGTCATTTCTATATAGTCCCATGTCTTTTTCTCTAGGATCCTGGCTAGATATGAAAGGATGAGTATGCCTCTTATTTCAAATGTCATCGGTTCATCGTAGCTACCCATCTTTACATAAAATAGGTCGTGATTTTGTTTTTGATTTCGTTTTGCATGTATGTATGCCTGCGTGTATGTATGTGTGCGTAAGTATGAGTGACATCCGACGAAAGATTTTCCTCCCGCAACCATAAAAACACCGCTATACGCAACCATACATAAATCCCAAAATTAAAAATTAATTAGTTTGTCTGACGATCGCAAATAGCGTGAAAACCAGGGTCACAAACCCGCATCAATCTAACTAAATATGTTAGCTCTATCATTGATATTGAGCGCTTTTCAATAAGTGACGCGCATATATAATATATAAATAATATATATAAAATTATATATATATATATATATATGTTTATGTACAAATTTTATATATGTGTGTGTGTGTCTGTGTGTGTGCGCGCGTGTGTGTGTATTTGCTGCTATGTCACCAGGATCTATGAAGACTGTACACATTTATAAGTCTACCATTTTGAGAATTATGTTCGCCCATGTACTGAAGAGAAACTGAAAATGATCTGCCACTAATAACGTATCCCTGAAACTTACGAAGCAGGCTGGCATGCCAAACCCTATCAAACGCCTTAGAGATTAGATATTCAAGTTCAATTATGTTTGTAAACACGTCAGCGGTGACCAGGCAAAGCGTAAACCATATTGTTTGGTGAGAGTATATCATGAGATGTATGATGCGTAACCATTTTGACTTTGATTAAAGCCGAAGAGATTTTATAGAAGAATGATGAGAGACTGATTGGATGGTAGTTATATAGGTCTGAGGCATCCCTAGATGTCTTAAAAACAGAGAAAACAGATGAGGACCTCCAACAGGCTGGAAAGCCAGAGTCAGTGAGGCAATAGTGATATTGTTTGGAGAGAACTGGAGCCATATCAGGAGCAGATTTCTTTAGGAACTACGACTGATATCCCTTCACCACCACTTGCTTTATGATAGAGCTGATGTCCAATGCCATCGACGGGATTATGCTCATTTCACTCAATGGAGCCTCACTTTTACGGGGAAAAATCAGGTGTGGGTACTCCGGGTAAGTCAAGTGTTGCGCTAGACGAGCATTTTCGAGCAAAACATTCAGCCTTATCAGCTGAGAAAGTTAGGAAAATTAAAACTTCGAATCGATTGAATAGAGGGCTGTAGATTTTCTGTTGTTCAGTACACTCTTGCAGAGTCGATAATAATCTTTAGAACTAAATTTGCGAGATGGAATACGTTGTTTTATTATATCAGCAAATAGTAACTTTGCTTCAATGAGGAGACGAGTGCACACATTACAAGCAGAGACAAATAGACGTCTGTTACAATCAGATATGTCGTGTCGGTACAGACGGAAGAAGAGATTTCTACAGGCTATAGCCACTGGGCATGCAAATGAGAACCAAGGAGATGAAATCCATTTAAGTTTATATTTTCTAGCTGGGATGAACGTCTCGATGCCATTACGAGACCACATACGAACTTTTTTGAACGGCGTGATTAAACCGATCTTCCTAGGGGCGTCGCGAAGGAAATCACGGAACGAGTCTCAGTCTGCGCGTTGACAACAGAAAATTATTCTGTTCGTAAGTGTTTCTTGGTTGGAGGAAGAGGGAAATGAGATGTCAATAGGCACTACGGTATGAGCAGAGGTGCCAGGATGGCAAGAAAACAGGAAACAATGGATGAGTTCCTGCTCATGTTCAAGAAAAGAGGGAGGAGTATTGACCGGGTGTTATGAAAGCTTATCTACTTCTAGTAAAAAAAAACAAACAAACAACAAAGACGAAAAAAGCAAACAAGCACAAAACAAGAAATACATAAACAACGTGCATGGCATCTAGAGTTGTAACTAAAATTTAAAGTTTCAATTTCGTTTAAGTGTCAACATGCACTTCCCGTTTAAGACGAACGCTTCCCGTCTGTGAGACAGAAATAAAAATGACGTCCAGCACTTGCATAAACCAGAAAAAAGATCAAAGAATTAATATTCTACGAAAGTCTTCGAAAAGGGTGTAGACTCAATTCACTTCAGTTAAAAAAATAATAGAAAAAAAAGAATTAATACCGAGTAAAGAAAAAAAATGAATAGGCAAATAAACTGATTAAATATTTAAATTATTCTGATTATTTTCCTCATCTTTGTTGCCATATTTATCACAACGTTTCAGCCATTGCACGCACTGGCCTTCTTCAGGTGTCCTTAAGGACACATGGCACAGTGGATAAAGTCGTTGGTTAGATCCAGTGACAGGAGCCAAAGAGTTCAATACCTGGTTAAGGCAGTGGTGAATTCGGAGAGGTGAATTAACAGGAGTTAACTGATAACTGACATCGATTAGACATGGCATGTGGAACTAGAACAGTCTACCCAAGCGAGCGAAAACAGAGGGTTCATTTCGACATTTCAACCACATGAAGAGAGCCGGAGCGTACAACGGCCTCAACGTTGTGATAAATATGACAACAAAGATGAGAACAATAATCCGAATAATGTTAAATGAAATATAGACAGATACTAAACTAATTAAGAATGAAATTCAAAGATATCCATACAAAAAAGGCAAAATACTATGATATTCATTTGAATTGCAATACTAGAACTAAGGAAATTCAATCAAAGATGGACTATACATTTGCGTATGTGCCATGGATGTTTTTTTTTCTACGCAAAATGTTGACAAGACAAAAGATTGAAAACGAAGTGATTTAGACTTTCTTGCTAAATATTGAAAATGATGTTAGTTTTAATAATTTAACCTTTTGATTAGGGATTGTTTTTCTTGCGAAATCAGTCATTTAACTAAGAGAGCTATTTTTATTTATTGTGATGTATTAGCCACATCTTATCTCGATACATTGTAAAACATTTCTCTTCATACATTCAATTACTAATTGACCGGTCTTACTTTTTAACAAGCCACTTCTCTATTTCTTGAAGTACATATCCTTCGCAGAACCACAAACACGTTTATTCGAAAATAAAAACAACTTTTTTTTTCAAAATTAAAGTGAACGTGCATTATCGTATACCAAAATTTTATAAACTAAATAGTTAATTGAAGCTTTCTTTTGCATTTACCTGCTATTAAAGTAAACCTTTCACATGTATATAACATCTCTACGTTTGTATTCTCTCTCGCATATTGGAATCTCAGGAACATAATTGTTAATTTGTTCTATAATTTTTTTCTTACACGATGAAAATGTCAATGACGTTTTTTTTCTATAATATTGAGACATCCATCCATTTAATCTTAATTGTCAGAGAGATTTCGAAATGAAAACACACTTGAGATCACGATGATGTCTCATCTTCAGCGAAGACTGATTGTTTCCGATCATGCCCATCTTCACAAGTCCGTTTGTGTTTCTCCAAACCCCATAGCGTCAACCTATGATTCGTACTGCAGCCATGGCGGGCGTACCAAAATTCAGAGTTGGAATCCTATATTCGTTGCCGTCCACGAATAGAGAATCTTATCTGTCATACTTTTTAACCCATATGTTGAGGGAAAACAATGTATAGCAATTTCCTCAGCGTAGCTTAGATGTGGGACAAGACTGAATGTTCGGAGCACCTAGTGAGTATCGAACTCACGTTTCAGTCGTAATTGATCTAGCGAGACCAGCTTGCTAACCATTACACCACGCCGAGGTGCCCGGATGATGTATATATTTATTTCCCAAGGCTATTTGTGAATATGACGATCTTGACCGGAATTCGAATATGGTTCAACAATTCCTCGTTCCGGGCCTTTAACAATTATACACCCTGCGCATTCAACTACCAGAGAGCTATCGAATAACAATACATACACATATATCCATTAAATTATATTCAGGAATGTCTTACTGAATAAATTACAAACACTATAGCTGCTTATTTTTATCATAATCCTTAAATATTCACGAATATTTTCAGTATATTACGGAATGCACTTTAATAGCGACAATCACTTGTATTTCCCAAGTTCTTTCAATCTCTTTTTGAGATCGGATTGCAACTGACAAGGCAAAATCTTTACGTAATTCATTCGATCAGGCATGCTCAAAAGAGAATTTGCTGCCTAAATACACAAATACTAAATTATATATTTATATATACGTGTGTGCGCGCTCGTCTGTGTGTGCGTTTGTGTTTATATATATATATATATATATATATATATATATATATATATATATATATATATATATATGTGTGTGTGTGTGTGTGTGTGTGTGTGTGTGTGTGTGTGTGTGTGTCTGTGTGAATTATGATCAAATAAAGATCCGTATCCAGCAGGATGAAAAGATGAAGAACAAATCATTTTACTTTTTTTAAATCTTCATTAGATAATAAAAACAGAAATTCAGGAATGCGATGATTCGCCG